AGGATGCTGTGTTCGAAAAAAGGCTGCACCAAAGCAAGAACTTTGTTAATATAGAGTTTTGGGGGATTTTTATTCTACGCAGATATGTACATATTTGGGAATATCACATGCAAAGTTCACGTGGCTCATGTAAGTCTGTGAGTCACCCTTCACAAGGCTCTAGGTCTAAAGGCCTACGGCCTGATCTAATGTCAGGATGAGCCACAGTGGAAATTAGTCAAAGCAAGCAAAGTGTGAAGACGTGCACACGCCAATGCGGGGAGCGAGACGATGGCACACTCAGAGGAGTCAGGCCCTGCACTTTAAAACAGACACCTGCAAGAAATTATTCTAGGACACAGACGACCCTGTAGAGTCACTCTCCTTTAAAAACGGTTCTTTGTGGAGCCGAAATTCAATTACTGTGATGTGACTTACAGATAGCACTCAGCAACGCGGCCAGTTTTGTTTCTCTTCGTATGGTTTAAATGCTCACCGTTGTAACAACGGTGTTTGTTTGGATAAAATATCATTTCGGTCTTTGGTCCCTTTTTTCTAAAATTTCTAGATACACTCTTAGTGTTAATTTCAAATTGAAACTCCAACATGCATCACTTAAAACCCTGAGACGACTACACCCTCATGGGTTCATTCTCTCGCATTATTTCCCAAAGAGAAAGGCTTTGATCTGAATCCTTAATATGTAAGGAAAGCCTAAATCAGAGCTGCCTTCTGTTGAAAAAATAAAACAAAGCAACAATGTTCTTGATTAATAGAGTTTATAGTATGATCTATCATGTGTCTTTCGTTTAATAAGAGTAGTCAAATATAAAATTAATCAATTGGGGAAGGAAACAACCAGGAAAAAATAGAAAATAGAGGATGTATGATAGTATGATACAAGAAGAGAATCTTCTGTGTGTGAAAGATAATATGTATTAAAAGAGTTGTTTTCGATTCTATACACTTTTTTTAAAAATTTCTTTTAATGTTTATTTTGGAGAGGGAGAGAGAGAGAGAGAGAGAGGCAGAATGTGAGAGGGAGAGGGGCAGAGAGAGAGGGAGACACAGAATCTGAAGCAGGCTCCAGGCTCCCAGCTGTCAGCACAGAGCCCGACTCGGGGCTCGAACTCCTGAACCGTGAGATCATGACCTGAGCCGAAGTCGGACACTTCACCGACTGAGCCACCCAGGCGCCCATTAAATTTTTTTTAACGTTTATTTATTATTGGGAGACACAGAGACACAGAGCATGAGCAGGGGAGGGGTAGGGAGAGAGGGAGACACAGAATCCGAAACAGGCTCCAGGCTCTGAGCCGTCAGCCCAGAGCCCGATGTGGGGCTCGAACCTCCAACCAGATTTTAGGTAAGTGATCCGAAGAGAGGTGAGAACGGGGCCAGCTGCACTGTGGATGAAATGAGTCATGTAAAATGGCTAACGGGATATTCATCCTCCGATAAAGAGAAAAACGTTTCAAATCAGCCAACTAACTGTGCCCTCTGGTAAGTGGTCTTTTCCCTTGGTGACACATTCATTCTTTGGTTGCCCGTTTGTTCGTTCGTTCATTCATTCCCTAAATGAGAGTTAATCAGAGTTCACTGCCAGGAAGACACACAGGACATAGAAACCTCAATAAAACCTAGTAACAGCCTCTAGAACTTTATATTCGAGCAGAAAAACACACAGGGGTCTCATCCTCCCAACTTCCTCTTTCTCCCATAACACCGTGTCATTCCAGTACAGCTGCCCACACACACCCAGATCCTGCTCTGCACTATAGGAGGCCACGGGGGGGGGGGGGGGGGGGGGGGGGGGGGG